CCCCAAAACCCCAAAACCCCAAAACCCCAAAACCCCTCATAGCTCAAATAAGATTTATTTAGAGCATAAATGGCAAGTCTGTATTCTTCCTTCCATCTCCAAAGTAGAAATTGCTGTAGAGTGTAGTGCCGACTTTATGGTAAGCGTAAAATCCAGGCCACAACAGATTTCTGATATTAGCCACAGATCCTGTTGTATCAAGGTGCAAAGACCAGGATCCTTTGATATCGTCATTATCAATACAGTCCAAGAAATCATGCTTGAATACAGAATCATCTCTTTCCATTTGCTCTACTTTTTCTTTGAATTCGACCTTTCTGAAGTGTTGGTATTTAGCAAGATTGGTAGCATCTTCTTTACAAAGTCCCACAAAAGCTTCGTTTCTTCTGACTTCATGTAATGGAGTAAACTTGAGGGATCCCTCTGGAACAAGATGGCACTGTCTCTCAATCTGGCAGACAACATAAGCTAATCTATCGAGCTCTGTAACATTTTTAGCTTTATTTGTCATCACAAGAGTTCCATTTTCAAAAGTGTAGCTTTCTTTTCCTTCTTCGCTTTCTCCCTCCTTTAGAATCTTGCTGTGCTCTCCAGTGAAGAGACCATTGAACTCACAGACGACTTCAGCAGTCTTTGGGCATACAGCTGGCATTGAAGCAAAGTTCCAGTTCGTAGAGGAACACCAGTAGAAAGTCTTTGATGGGAATTTATCCTCTCCATTGAAGTTCACTCCAAGAGCAATGAAGTAGTCTTTGACTGTGCCTAAACAATAGATTAGCAACTATCCAACATATGTGAATCCTTACCATTGATTTTTCCCCAGAAGAGGACCTCATCATGAAGAGACTCATTCTCTATCTTTAGTAGGGCTAGTTCCATTTGAGATCTATACTTAGTTAGAGCTGTTTCAAAGATATTCCAAAGCAGAAAAATGAGATCTGCAAACTTACTTCTCCTCAATGTTCAGAGTGATGCCGTTGTAAGCAAAGTATTTGAGGTTTGTATCAATCTCTGTTATGTCCATAATTCTTATAAGATTAAAAATAATTTTAAATTTTGAAATAAATAAGGGGTTTTGGGGTTTTGGGGTTTTGGGGTTTTGGGGTTTTGGGG